ATAAATATACTTTACTGCAGTAAGGGCAGTGGGAATGTCCAGAGCATGTTCTTGCCATACAATAGAGGAATTGATGTGGGATTCACCACTGTATGCTCATGTGGGACAATTGTCTATATTCTGGCAATTATGTTTTAAATAAATGCTGATTGGCCAGTAGCAATGCAGGAAGTATAGGTGGGACAACCAGACAGGAAGTAGAAGCAGGCAATGAGAACAGAAGAATTCTGGGAAGAGGAAAGCTCCCTTTGTGGTCCTGCCCAGACACAGGAGAAGGAATATGTGACCTCCCCCACAGAAAAAGATACTGAGCCATGTGGCTAACATAGAAAAGAATAATAAGTTTTAAGAGTTGATAAGAAGTCTGAGCTAATGGGCCAATCAGTTTATGATTAATGTAGACCTCTGTGTGATTTCTTTGGGACTTAAGGACTGCAGAAACCAGGCAGGACAAGGACTGGGTGAGATATAAACCTCAGACAAGAGTATGCTCTGACTATCATCGGTTAATAAAGGAACTGCTTTGGGCCTATAGCAGATCTATAGGGGAACAGAACTAGGTGGGGAAAGCTAAGCTTGAAGAAAGGATGTAGAGTCAGAGAGAAGCCACATAGCCACACTAGAGACAGATGAAGGAACTTTAGCCAGTAAACCACAGCCATGCGGTGATACACAGATTAATAGAAATGGATTAAATGAATATATATAGTTATCCAAGAAGCTAGAGATAATGGGCCATGCAGTGCTTTAAATAATATAGTTTTGTGAGATTATTTGGGGGCTAGGTGGCAGGGAAATGAACAAGCGGCCTCCTTTCAACAAGGAAAGATGAAGAAAGGAGAAAAGAATGAAATAAATCACTTCCACTTGCTGTCTACCTGGATGATGATAATTGAATTTGATGATGCAGGAATCCTACACAAACTGCTTGAGGTTGGGCACTCTATTTGCCACTCAACTGAAATGTAAAGAGTATTGATTTTCTGAATCATCATGGGAGATTCATTTCAGGTATGCTTAAACCATAGTATGTACTAAATAAAAGGCACAGTGCTTTTATAGATTAGCAGGGACCAAAGATGGTTATTAATTTGAAAATTGTAAAAGACAAACAGTTTCATCACAAATGTCAAGGAGCATATTGCTGGTGGATATTATTTGCAGAAGGATTTTCATAAACATTTAAATAGCAAAATCACTTCTTCCAATGAATTTATTGTCAAGGAAAAACTGAATATGTTTAATTAATGACTCACTAACCTCTGAGTCATTTTCCACAGTATATAAGTCAGATCCAGGAAAATGCAAGATTAATGTATTTGAGGATCAAAGCTGAAAAAAGATTTAGGAAAATTTATCCCTTGAAGCTTTAAAATGTTGGATATAGGACAGAAAAAAATGTTTTAGGAAAATTATTATTCTTCATTTTGCTATAAAGCAGAGAGAGAAAGAGAGGCAGATAGACAGACAAAGACACACAGAGAGAGAGACAGAGGGAGAGAGGGATAGAGGTGAACTTTGTCAGAATTTACATATTTGTGACTTGGAGACATATTGAAGTTGATAGAAAGTTCATATATTGGGAAGATATTTAAATACATTATTTATAACAACACATGTATTCAGAATGTCAAATACATTATAACAATACATGTATTTAAAATGTATAGCAAAATCACTAATATCATTAATAAAAATACAGCTAATATAATTGAGTAATGATTTGAACAGAGTGCTATAGAAAATAATGAAATGGTATTAATCATTTAACAAGTCCCTTTATTCCTTCTGAAAAAATAAAATATAACTTACAGTGAAAACCATGACAAATGTCTTACAATGTATCTGTGCCCAGTGGTTGAGTATTAGCAAAACAGTGGAGGCAATTATGTCAAATAAGTGCCTGCCTCTTTTCATATTGATGCTGAGCATCAAGCCAAGAAATAAAGCAGATGAGTGTTTTTGCAAAATAATAGTCAGTGAATCATCCCCTTGGTTTGAAAAGGTCAGCAAACAGAGGAGCATAACATCAGTCTGTAATTGGATTATAAAGTGGATTCTTGACTCATTCTTACTGACTGGTAACAGAAAACAAGAGCACATGAAGAAAGAATGAGAACTACTCTTCAGTCCACTGTTATTTTATTTTATTTTTTTTTCCTTTTTGGGTTTTTTTTTTATTGCGAAAAGAAGAAAAAAAACATAAACAAAAAACAAGTTTCCACCTCCTCCCAGCCTCCCATTTCCCTTCCCCTCCTCCCACCCTTCTCCCCCTCCTCCCACCCTTCTCCCCCTCCTCCCACCCTTCTCCCCCTCCTCCCACCCTTCTCCCCCTCCCCCCACTCCTCTCCCCCTCCCTCTCCAGTCCACAGAGCAGTCCGGGTTCCCTGCCCTGTGTTAAGTCCTAGGTCCTCTCCGTCCATTTTATTTTATTTTTTGAGTCAGGGTTTCTCTGTGTAGCTTTTTAACCTGTGCTGAAACTCACTGTGTAGGGAAGGCTTGCCTTGAACTCACAGATATTCACTTTCCTCTGTCTCTTGAATGTTGTGATTAAAGACATGTGCCACCACAGCCTGGCTCTATTGTTATTTTTATATTTTTAGAATTTGGAGAACATGTACATTCTATCAGTGTCACTAAACAGAAGACTGTGTCTTGGGGCAGGTTGAAAGGATTTTATGGAAGAGCCTGTGCAACTCAGTGACCCAGGACTATGAAGCTGAATCATACAATGTGTTTGTATTTTGTATTTCAATCCATATCCCACAATTATTTATTTTTCATTATTCAAAGAAGTCTGTTTGTCATGTATATTTCTAGTAACATGCTTTTAAAAAAATTGCGTGTTGACGATTTTCCACATATATAAAATATTCTGATAATTCTTCTCTCTGAAGTCATCTCAATCTTGTCAGTTCCTTCTACCCAATAAGTCCCTTACACACTATCACTAATTTTAGCTTATCTGTGGTCCTATAAATTTATTCAGGGCTATATGTGTACCCTTAATTTTGTAACTAATGCTTGGGCCTTAAAGACCTGACAAGAAGAAAAAATAGGCCTGGACAATGTTCTTCCTACCCCAACCTATCATTGGCCCATAGTTCAGAAATGAAATGTGTAATCTCATGAGACATGTCCTCTTTCATAACCTCCAGCCCACAGGAAATGGCTAGTTTATGTCTAGTGTAAGCAAACATGCTACCTGTGACTGAATATCCAGAATACATGACAAGTTTAAAACATAAAGTACGAGAAAAGTGACAGTTCAATCACAATGGACATGGGACAAGGAAAGGAGGGGGGAGAGGGAGAGGAAGAGAGAGTAAACAAAAAGACCAGAGACATCTTTTGTTGGTATTGCAAAATTGTATAGTAACTCTGGAAACAGTGTGGAGAACACATAGTTTTCTGAAAGTAAATATGGACCATGTGACTCAGTTATACAGCTCTTGGAATATGTCTAAATGAATTGATATTCTCCTTCACAGGTATTTTCTCATGCATGCACACAACATCTTTTCACAGCAGGTAGAAAATGAAAACAATCTAAATGTTCTATAGCTTTCTAATGGATGATGAAATAGTGATACATGTAGACTATTCCATTGTAAAGAAAACCGAAATCATGACATTTGCAGACAAATGGCAGGTACTATAAAAGATCTTACTGAATGAGATAAACCACATCTAAAAGAACAAATGTTGCATGTTAGGTCTCTTCTGTTGTTCCAAGCTCCAAATATTCAGATAAATTTCAGGACTCACTTGCTACCTTGGAGTGTAACAACATTCAGTAAAAAAGAGTCCACAATATTGAAATAGATGAAGGGGTGCATATTGGAGGGTTTAGAATGAGGGAAGAAAGAAAAGTGGGGAATGATGCAATTATACTGTATTCCCAAAATGAAAAGAAATAGAGATAATAATAATAAGATATAATTTAAAGAAAGTGTCATGAATGGTAGACTAATTCTTTATAATATTGTAGTTAGTAACCATGGTTGTCAACCAAAAACACCAAAATACTAACTGTAGGTTATTCCATGTGTCAGAGAGGGAAGCCCCAGAGGATAAACAAGCACTGCGGAGTACTGATATTCTTGGTTGTTCCTAGAAATAGATGACAAGATCCTATAGCTAAGCACAAGACAGACCTTGGTTTTGATGTGTAAAGAAGTCAACTAGTCAGGGAGTGTCCTTTAGGAAATGTAAACATATTTTCAGCTTGAATGTAGAGTCCATTTGCACATTATACAATTTTTCTGAACATTATTATTTTTTTATAGATTGTTTCACTTGATTTGGTTTCTTCTGATTAATGATACCTGTATTTATTGCCAGTGGACATTTAGCAGCAGTTTTCTATTATTCATACAGTTAAGCTTTGGTGGTATCTCTTGTAACTTTGTGTCATAGTCTTTGAATTTAGTATACAGGAAGAATAAAGTGATCAATATATGGGAGGACTTAAAGGTATCAATAACCTTATAAAAGATCCTTCTCTAGTATTAACATTTTATCTTCTAACAGTGTGGTTGCTTTGGCTCATATAGCTCAGGCCACTCTATAAAATTCATTTAACTACACAGTGTTATGTTTAGATTCAGAATGTGTTTTAAAGCATGTGCCATGGTTTTAAATGAATCATGTATGACATGTGAACATGCATTGTGACCTTTACTCACCAGTATAGTTCTGGAGGCAAAAAGATTACTTAAATGTTCTAACAAGAATAGTTCTTTCTGACAGAAATGCTCAATTAATCATCCCAACAGAACCTGACCTTTAGCCTAATCTTATTAGTTTAGGAATATGAGATCATATGTAGTTCAGCAGGGTGAAGTGAACATACTGGACAGATGCAGGCTGTTGTGGTGCAAAACCATTGGTTGATTCCATGAAACTCCCTCTAACTAACTGTATAAATGTTTTGTCAGTTCTGTTCCTTCACAACCAATATTTTGAGCTACTACAGAAGACCAAAGTCAGGCACCACCATGGTAAATTTTCTGCTGCTGACTTTGGCATTTGGTCTGGCTCATGCTCAGGTAAATTCATTTGGTCCATGCATAGGCTTAATGTTCTTCAATAGCATATTTCTGGGGATGTGATGTGTTGTCCAGTTAGTACATATTCATGAAATAACCTTTCTGACTTTCACTCAGTTACACTTTTTAATCCGATTCTCTAGGATGAAAGAAATGAAATAAGATAACAATGGGTTGATTATGCAGATGTTAAGAGGGCAAAACATCAGCAGCTCAAAGTTCAGGTGCAGTGTGCTATGTTAATTAAGTCATCATATTGCCCTGTGTTATTCTACATCACTTGAAACATAATTTGAAGTTATAAACAAAATATTATAGATTTATATTTCTAGTTAGCTTATGCATTTCCAATAATTGAGATAAATGGTCTTTGCTGTTTTCTTTAGATTGAAGGAAAGTGGGATACCATTGTCATTGCTGCTGACAATGTGGACAAGATAGAGGAAGGAGGACCTCTGAGACTCTATGCTCGTGAACTTACTTGTAGTGAGGAATGTAAAAAATTGGAAATCACATTTTATGTCAAGTAAGCAAATGGTCAACCGTCTAAACTGAGGAGAATATTTCCATTTTTCAGATTTTATGTTGTTAAACTTACAGTGGCATGTTCTGTTTTTGGTCATGAAATTGAAGTACTCACCTTCATCAATGTGATTATGTCATTGCATGATGGTTTAGTTCTAGACACCACACAAAAGTTAGACATTGTCTCCAATTCCATGAGTATTTCCTTAGAAATCCTTTTGGTTGGAGTTCAGTGGTTGAATTTAGTGCCCAATTATTAAATTCAGCAGACTATATGGATTTTATTTCTAGTAATTTGAAAGGTATATGCGAGCATTTGGTTCAAAATCACACATACTATATTATAAAGTCAATGCTGTCATAAAAAGGCTTCCTCAGAGAGGTTAGATAAGTCTATTGCAAATTATTTTATTTGGTGCTCTAGTTTCAAAGACACTCTATGACATTAGGATAACTATGTTCATTGTAAGAGTGTATAATGCCATACGAACTAAGAAAGGCTAGAACCATTTCTATCTTCTAGCTACAATAGTAAGTTTTTGATTAAAAATTAAATCACTTAAAACACATGCATATAATCCTAAAATACATATTATAACTGGAGTAGAACAAGAGAATTAACATATTGAAAGCCATACTCAGTGAACAGTGAAATTGGGATAAGAAAGCCATCAGAGTCTTCATAGCATTTGGAAAAATTGTCACAAGTAAAGTAAGTCATGTTTATGATTTACAAACAGGATAATATTTTCTAAACAGAATTAGGAGAATTGAGGTAAGCTTAGGTACTTCTGTTCCAGCTCTGTATACTGTTCATAGATACTATTACTTTATCAAATTCATTATAATACTTGAAGATCTTTAATATGAATCAAAGGATATAAAGTATAAACCAGGGTACCTCTGTTTGATTTTTAGTGCGAATGGCCAATGTTCAGAGACAAAAATCACTGGTTATAGGCAAGAAGATGGCACGTACAGAACCCAGTGTAAGTACGGATTCTGGGAGCTTCCTCTATGAACAAAAAATTGTGAGTGTGCACACATACATGGACATTACAACCACTCATAGGTACATGAACCTAGAACATGGTTACTTGGATAGTTATCAATTCTTCCAAGCAGTTGAGATATGCTACAAAGTCAGAGTACATTGTAGGTCATCTGAAGTTTACATGGAGAAGAACACTATTACCTGAAGATGTAAGCAATGCTAACGATATCTCCAAATAGTTTCCTGCATGAAAATTTATTTCTATATAATATTCAGTGTCTTTTCTTTCATACAGTATCTTGAACAGGCCTGCCACTCAATGATAGGTCTCAGTGACCTCAAAAATCTTTACAAACTTTATGCCTCAGACTGTCTACTACTTATATTGCAGGCATTATCTATCATCCCAGATTTTTGGAAAATTTAAATTCATGGTGCTATTTTACAGTTTAATTTTCTTTTATTTTGTAGAGATCATAACATTTAGGTCATACGATGAAACATTTCAATTTTGAAAAGCAGTTAGGAAAAAATCTGTTTAAGAATTTCAGACTGACTACTTTTGTAAAAATTGCTAAGATAATAGCAATATTATTCAACTGAATTATACACAGGATGACCTTTGGTTTGATCTTAAAAGAAGGGAGGGCACATTCTTCTGGCAAGTCTATTGTTTTCCAAGTTTACATGGGTATTTAAAGAAGTCCAGTACTATAAAGTGACCAGATCCTAAAATCCCCCTTTCCCTTGAGTCATGCTTATCATTTAATCAGTGTCAGTAAGTGGAAATACCTCATACATGTAGACACACACACACACACACACACACACACACACACACACACACACAGAGAGAGAGAGAGAGAGAGAGAGAGAGAGAGAGAGAGAGAGAGAGAGAGAGAGAAACACACACAGAGAGACACACACAATATGAAGGTCTGGTAAACTTAAAATGTTCATTCTTACATCTTTTGCATACATAATCTTCCAAGATGAAAACTTTTATGCATATCTCTAATTATTACAGTTAATCTCTTTTTGCATATGTAGCAATTTGTCCACCAAATATTACCATTGTGTGACATCAAAGTTTTACAGTTTTCAGTAATTGACATGTGGCCTTTTAGGATATGGTTATAGGGGAAGAAATAACCAACAGAGTGATCCCACAGGTCTTGATGCAAAGAATTCAGAGAAAATGTAGTGTGTCTGTACCTAAGATTCACTATCCGGTTTAAGGAGTTGGAAATATTGGTCACTGTGTTATGATGAGATATGTAAAATGAATGACTATAGGAAAATATTTACACACATGTGTCATATGATAGTGAATCAGACATGATTGCTAGAGTTGGTATCAATATTAATGTTTAGTCAACAGGTAACATCAAACAAAGTAGAAAACTAAGTGACACTCAATTTGAAATGTTTCCATTATTACAGATGAAGGTGATGGTAGATTTAAACCTGTGCATGCAACACCAGACAATATAGTCTTTATCTGTCAGAATGTGGATAGAGCTGGCCAGACAACAAACCTGATTTATGTTATTGGTAAGAATGGTAGTGCGTTTTTGGAATGGTAACAAAGGTATCACCCTGAAACTGAAGATTAAGTCAGATTCACACTTGAAATACTGTATCATGGAATTTCTAGACTCCTGTCCTCTAAATAACAATCTGATTGTTTTGTGGATCAACTTTTACATTATATTTTAATTTGAGTAGTATAGTCATTGAATACTAGAGGCTAAGCAGAAGACTATTGGAAGTGTTTATGTTCATGTCGCCTCACTGGAGAGAATGAAGCAAATATTATTTTCCCAAAGTTCAGACATTTTTGAGTGTCATTTGACCCAGTGTGTACTAAATTAAAACATGAACTCTAGAGTATAGAGTCGGCAGAAATGTGAAGGTTCCATTGACAGGCCTTCATGACTCTCTAGTGTTATGTTTTTGAAAGTATATAGGATTGAGATAAATGAATTCTTTAGGAAAGTTGTTTTTTTTTGATACATCATGAATCCCTGAAAAGTGATGTCATACAACCATATAGACTTCATTAAATGCATCCATGGAATCTGAGGAAAATTTTTATTGAATTTATTGATCCAACCAGGGTAGATGAATTTTGAGCAGTTGGGATTTTCCATTGTGCATCATGAAGGTACATGAAGGTAGCAATGTAAATACTGCATAATTCTACTGAACGTGTCTGTGACATTGTTATTCCTGCAATGTAGGAAAAGGTCAACCTTTGACTCCTGAACAATATGAAAAACTTGAGGAATTTGCCAAGAAACAGAACATTCCAAAAGAAAACATCCGAAATGTTCTGGCTACAGGTAACCTCAATGAATATTTTTTGCTCTGCTATATATATTCTGTGTATCGGTGTATTCATATATATATTTATAGCGAATCTATCAATCTATCTATCATCTATCTATCTATCTATCTATCTATCTATCTATCTATCTATCTATCTATCTATCTATCTATCTTCTGTCTATCTATCTACTCAGTAAGGACCCTGATTTTAGACTATATCTAGTCATATGCAATCTTTCAGTTGCTATTCCCAGCAATAATCCTTGAGGAGCTGTTCTCATTTTCTTATGAGAATATTTATGTCACTCCTTACACTACTTATGTTCTTTTACAGATACTTGTCCTCAATAACGACCATCTGTAGGTGAGTAGAACAGAAGCCAGGCCTAACCATCTTGATATATGAATGAATTTTTGCTTATTACATAAAAAATTATAAAAAATATGTGATCAAATTAAAAATGAACTCAAAATTGGCAAAATCAAGACAGGATATTATGTGTCTTTTAAAGCAGAAAATCTTTTTTTTTGTTTATTTTTTTTTAGTTGTTGAAAAAAAAATTCCGCCTAGTCCCCATTTCCCATTTCCCTCCCACTCCTCCCACACATCGCCCCGTCCCCCCACTCCCCTCCCCCTCTCCCCCCACACCACTACCCCTCCCTCTCGAGAATGAAGAGCAGTCCAGATTCCCTGCCCTGCGGAAAGTCCAAGGTCCTCCCATTTCTATCCAGGTCCAGGAAGGTGAGCACCCAAACAGGCTAGGCTCACACAAAGAGAGTTCATGTATTAGGATCGAAACCTAGTGCCATTGTCCTTGGCTTCTCATCAGCCTTCACTGTTCGCCATGTTCATAAAGTCTGGTTTCATCCCATGCTTCTTCAGTCCCAGTTCCGCTGGCCTTGGTGAGCTCCCAATAGATCAGTTCCACTGTCACAGTGGGTGCCTGCACCCCTCATGGTTCTGACTTCCTTGCTCATGTTCTCCCTCCTTCTGCTCCTCATTTGGATCTTAAGAGCTCAGTCCGGTGCTCCAATTTGGGTCTCTGTCTCTATCTCAATCCATCGCCAGATGAAGGTTCTAAGGTGATATGCAAGATATTCATCAGTATGGCTATAGGATAGGGTCATTTCAGGTTCCCTCTCCTCAGCTGCCGAAGGTACTAGCTGGGGACATCTCCCTGGACACCTGTGAGCCCCTCTAGAGTCAAGTCTCTTGCCAACCCTAAGATGGCTCCCTTAATTAGGATATATATTTCTCTGCTCCCTTCCTTTATCCCAACCATCCCATTGCCCCAAGCTCCCCCCATCCTCCCCTTCTCACGTTTCTCACCCCATTTCCCCTTAGCCCCATGCCACCTCACCCCCAAGTTCCTAGTTTTTGCCCGGCAATCTTGTCAACTTCCCATATCCAGGCGGATGACTATATATTTTTCTTTGGGATCACCTTCTTATTTAACTTATCTAGGATCACAAATCATGTGCTCAATGTCCTTTATTTATGGCTAGAAACCAATTATGAGTGAATACATCCCATGATCATCTTTTTGGGTGTGGGTAAAGCAGAAAATCTCACAGTGATAGAAATGAAGGACAGGATATTTTTATAAATATTTATAAAACAATGTGAAGGATTTTGTCTAATTCAGAATTGCTAATATTTTTATATAGAGGAATATTCCATCAAGAAAATATGTCTTTTCATTTGAAAAATCTTACTTTACTTATGATTTTGTACTATAATTTTTGTCAAATACAAAAGCATGTTTATCTTTTAGTATATTCCTTGAAACCTCTCAATACAAATTTTTATGTAGCATCACAGAATGTCATTATTTTCTGCCAACAGTAATCCTATACAATCCAAGCACAAGATATTGGTGATTTATAGGTAGGAACTATTTGTGTACAATCCTTTCTCTGTACTCAATATATAATTATGTTTAATTTTGCTTCCACACACTCTCAATGACCAAATCTTTCCTGTCTGTTCAATAATGTTTTAATTTTTGCTTTCATGCCAGCAGAGATATCGGAGGAATGGAATCATGCATCATATTCTCTTCATCATCGCAACAGGATCACATATAAATCACCATTTCTTTTTTCATGAATTCTCCCCTCTCCTGTGAAGCCAGAATACTATATACTAAATTCCTGACTTGCCTTTCCTTTCCCTTTTTATGATCTGTGAGCTCATCTTTTTGAATGATTAAATAAAGTGATTCAAGAAGCAATATTACCTTGTGAAAGGGATCTCATTCAAAAAACACATATTCACTAAGCTAATTAAAATAATCACTCCAGTGTAACAAATGATATCTACATTACTAAATATAATTGAAATAATTAGAAATGTGACAATTACTGGAGTTGCATGAGCAAGAACACTGCAGAAGTGAATTTTATCTTGTGCTACATATTTACTTTTAGCTAAAAATGGTGATTTGCAATTGAACAGTCCTAACATTCTAAAAGATTTCACAGAACAAACTGTTTGGGTCTGCCTCCATGTTACACATTATTTAAAAGAGAGGATGAAATATGTTTTCAAAAGTCCATCTGAGGGGATTATCTTTTGTTAAATACTTCAGGAAGCAAATGGATCAAGATACATATGAGTCACTCCCATTTGAAGAACCAACTCGTGAGAATGATATTCCATAAATACCATGCCATACCAATATGCATGTGTTTATTACAATTTTCTCTTTGTATTACAATGATTCCTTAGGATGTAGTTAGCTATCAAATTAGAAAAGGCAAATGCAATCTTCTTTGAGGGCTTGGGACAAGGAAAAAGAAAAGATATTAGACAACGTTGTTACATTCAGGCTCATGAGGTTTAATGATATAATGAAAGCAAAGTACATTAATATAAAAGAAAGAGATATGAATAAGAAACAATGACATAATTTTCTCTTAAAAATCCTGTTATTTAAACTTTCAATGTGTGCCTTAAAAAGCAACATTACTTTAGAAAAATTAATTGACTAATGTCTTCTGAAAATTTGGTATATTCAGTGTACATTTATACCATTTCACCCTCATTCTCCAACTAATTCCTAGCATTCCTGTGTCTTCTTTTTCCAATTTCTACAACTTCTTCATGAATATACATATTTGTTTGAATATGTGTGAATGTGTGTGTTGAGAAAGAGGATGTTCTTACAAACATTTATAGTCCAACTGTGTCCATTTAGGGTTTCCAATATGCATTTATATTTAGTGCTGGCCCCTTGGTCTTCAATTACTTATTACTTATAAGTGGTCTTATTTTAGAGGTAAAAGGATTATGACACTTCTTTTACTATCAGTGGTTGCTTTCTAAGCTAGCAAGCATTCAAATGGCATGGAAGTTCTAAAGCTCACCATTCACATCCTGATAACATGGGTAAAGTATGCACAATCTGAGAGATAACTCAAAGGTAATTAGTTGAACTTACATCTTGAACTGTAAGAACATAAATCTTGCTTGGTTCTTTAAATATGTTCAGCTACTGTTGTTCTTTTCATCAACCAGTGTAATTTCTAAGTGTATTCTGAATGGTAATTGCTTAAACAACACTACTTGAAATGATTTAAATACCAGTCCTACTTGGTAGTACATTCATGGTGACAAGGTATAATCTTCCTTCATCAAACTGCAGAATACATTGTTTCTGAAGATATGTTCTTATAACAGCCTGAAGCTCCCAAAAGGTTCCAGTTTTATAAGCTAAAAAAGCTAGGAATTCTTATTTTCTTTGCCTCCTCATGAAAATGAACATCAAGAAAACCCATGATTCCATATCAAACATGTATTATACAACTAAATATCATGTTCTCAGAAAGTGAAGCACACATGTCTGAGAAACAATTTAAAGTGTTCAATATAGTTAGCAATCAGGGAAATAAAATTAAAACTACTCAGAGATTTTTATCTTACTTCTCTTAGACTGACCAAGATTATTAAAAGAAATGATGCAGGGAAAGGGCTGCACTTGGCCCTGGTTAATGGAATTGAGAAAGTGATTCAGTAGTAATCAAAATCAGTGGGGAAGATTCTAATATGAGAGCATCAATCTTACCACAAGTCCTTCAAAGAAGAATTACAACCCAACTATCTTGACATTTTATTTTAAACATGGAATGGGAAGGATCACTCCCAATCATGTTATATATAGCCAGTGTTAGTTTAATACCCATCAAAATCACACATGCATTCATTCATATGTACACATATGTGTGCACATAGAGGAAAACATAACTGTTGATAATAGAGGCAGAAAAACATTATAAAGTAATAGAAATCTTTTTTGAAGGTTTGGACAAGGAAAAGGAAAGATATTAGACAATGTTACTATATCCAATCTCTTGAAATCTAAAGTTATAACAAAATCAAAGTACATTCAATATTCATAGGCAACAGATATGAATAAGAAACAATTACATAGTTTCTCAAAACCTGTTATTTAATCTTTCTTTGAGTGCCTTGTAAAATAATGCAACTTCAGAACAAATACTTAACTGATGTTTTGTAAAAATTCTGTATATTCAATGTACCTTTATATCACTTCATCCCCATTCTCCAAATAATTACTACTATACTTGTGCTCCCATCTCTTTTTCCAATTTCTCCAACTTCTTCATGAATATACATATTTGTTTGAATATATGTATGAATTTGTGTGCGCGTCTGTGTGTGTGTGAGTGTGTGTGTAGTTAGCGCGAGGAGACTGACAGAAAAATTCATAGCCCAACGGTGTCCATTTAGTGTTTCTAACATGTATTCATGTTTAGTACTGGCTCCTTAGTCTTCAATTACTTATTACTTATAAGTGGTCTCTTTATAGAGGTAAAAGGAATATTACTACTATTTTTACCATCAGAAGATGGTAAGTCTTCTAAAATGCTAAGTCTTCAAATGGCACAGAAGATTTAAAGTTCACCATTCACAACGTGATAACATGGGTAAAGTGTGCCCAATCTGAGAGGTAACTCAAAGGTCATTAGTTGAATTTACATCCTGAGCTGT